CTCAAGAACAAAGCCGGGGGCAGGCAGTTAGGTCCCTCTTTGAAGGCCCTGAGCCCCAAGGCCAGGCGCCCCACCCTGTTCCCATCCTGAGCTGCATTTGCAGCTCTGGGTCCCCTCTGTTTTGGGTAGAAGATGGGGGTAGGCAGAGGAAGGAAGAGGTGTGGGGATGACAACTGCCCTGACCAGGACCTCTTGTTTCTTTTTTATGGTTGTTGTTGTTTTTGGTACCAGGGATTGAACTTGGGACCTTATGCTTGCCCTGAAGGCGGCAGAACCACTGAGCTAAATCCCCAGCCCAGGACCTCTTGTTTCTTGGGAAGACAGAGACCCGGTCTTCTGCTTGGTCCCTGGCCAAGGTGGGTGGGTGTGGCCTTGTCCTCCCCCGGAGACCCGATGGGGAGAAGGCTTGGGGGGCAGGGGACTGTCACCCTCTCACACCCTGCTGTTCTCCAGAGGCTGAGGAGGGGACTGTGACTGAGGCCAGTAGGAGCTCACCTTGATGCTCTGACTTCCCTGGCCAACTGTTGCCCCCACTTTGCTGATGATGAAACCAGGCAGAACCTTAGGGTCAGTCAGGAAGTGGAGCTAGTATTTCTTTGTTTTTGTTTTTTGAGACAAAAACACTGTGTAGTTCAAGCTGGCCTTGAACTCACTATGGAGCCCAGGCTGGTTTCCAGCTCATGGTGAACCTCTTGCCTCAGCCTTGGGAATGCTGCGATTACCTGCATGTGCCACTGCTGCTTAGGAGCCAGCATTTCGGTGCAGGAGTCTGGCTGGCTGTAGGGCTTTTGACCAGCTTTGCAAAACCTCAGAACCCTGTATTGGGACTGCAGCTCCAAGGCGCTGCACCATCGCGGATTCTCTCCATCACTTTGGATACTGGTTCCTGCCCTTCCCTAAGACACCAGCAGACTCTCTGGAAACCTCTTCCAGAGGAGCCTGGGAACCAGGCTTCCAGGCTTGGCCTAGCGACCCTTTGGCGCCACCTAATGGTCACTGCTGGGTGGGTGCTTGGGAAGCCAGAAGAAAGCTATCCTGGACCCCAGCAAGGGTGTGGTCTGTGGCTAGCAGAGCCTTGCTGTGGCTGGGGAAGGAGTGCCCGTCTGAGCAGGTATAAATGTTCCCCACCTTCACAGTACCTGACTGACACTGTCTTTTATCATTTTACCTTTTTTTTCTTTTTTTGGCACTAGGGATGGGACCCAGGGCTTCATGCCTGTTAGGCAAGCACTGTACCACTGAACTATATCTCTAGCTTTTTTTTGTTTTTTCTTAATTTTTAGAGCCAGACATGGTGGCACACACTCTGATCCTAGCAATGGAGAGGCCGAGGCAGAAGGATTACCATGAGTTAGAGGCCAGCCCAGGCTACATAGAGACAGGGTCTTGTTTTGTAGCTCGGTCTGGCCTTGAACTCAATGCAAGCCTCTTTTCCACTGCCTCCCCAGTACCAAGATGACAGATGTGTACCATTGTGCCTAGCTTATACATTATTTTGAGGCAAGGTCTCACTAAGTTGCCCAGGCTGGGTTGGAACTTGTGATCCCATTACCTCAGCCTCTCAAGAGTGCTAAAATTACAGGTTGTACCACTGGCTTGGCTTCAGGATCATCTGAGGCTGTGCCCCGGACCTCTGTCATCAAGCCCCAGCCCAAAATGGTCTCTTCTGAGTGTAGACTAGCTGTCCACCATGTCTGTCTCCAGCTCCTCTCCCTGTAAGCTCCTGTACAGCCCCTGTGGTGGGAAGGAAGAGGAGACAGAAAACCCCAAGAAGAGGAAGGGACAGAGGCAAGAGTATTCTCTGGTAGGTGCGGGTCTCCTAGCCGCAGCCCTCTGCACAGTTCCACATGCTGGGCTGAGTGGGTGCTCAGAGCACATGCCTGTCGTCGGGGCCCCTCACGAAGCTGAAGCAAAAGGATCTCAAGTTTGAGGCCAGTCCAGGAAATTTAGGGAGACCCAGTCCAAAAATAAAAAAGGCACTGGGCGTGATGGCTGCATGCCTGTAATCCAAGCACTGGTGGGAGGATCGCCACAAGTTGGAGGCCACCCTGGGCTACATAGTGAGTTCAAGGCCAACCTGAACTCTGTCTCATAAATAAATAAATAAAATTTAGAAGTTTTGAGGATGTGGCTCATTGATAAAGTAGTCCTGGGTTTGATCTGCAGTACTGGGAGGGAAAAAAAGAATAAAGCAAGGGCCATCCTCCTGCCTCAGTCTCCTGAGTGCTTGGATTACAAACCTGGGCCATCCAGCCCAGCAATTCTGTTAGTTTCTATCTACATTGTCACCTCAAAGTCTCATGAGTTTGAGGCAGGGCTTTGGGAAGGTGACTGGATCCGAGGGCACTCACTCCTCAGTGCATCTGTGCCCTGGTGAGCTCATGGCTGTGTGCTGTTAGGAGGTGAGGGCCTGTCTGGAAGGGGAGCCTTGGGGGTATATCTCCCTCCTCAGCTCCTCCTTCCACTCTGCTTCCTGCCTGCCTCTGCCAGCCCTTCCTCCTTTCCTCAGGGCCAGCCACCCCCGACTGAATCCCCAAGACCATAGGCCACCTGCCGTAACCTCTCTTTGAAGTCCTGGGTGATGGTGCCTGTGCTGGTGTTGGGAAAGCTGACTACCATGCAGTGTTTCCAGGGTTCACTTCCTAGAGGGGGTCATGCTGGGTGAAGGAGATGCAGAAAGAAGGGGCACCAAAGAGACTGGCAGAGGCACCTGGCCACTGGGTCCCCTGGGAGAACCCCAGAGAAGTGGCAGGGCTGCAGAGGGTTCCTCCCCTACGTGCTTGTGGACACTGCTCCATGCAGGAATGGCAGCCACCAGAGGGGCTGGAGAGGGGCACCGGGAGCCTCCACCTAGGCTGATCTGGGGTTCCTTCCATCCTGGGGATACAAGGTTAGGGTTAGATGAGATGTGAAAGAAATACAGGGCCGTGAAGTTCTCCCATAGCTGCCTGAGGGGCTGGAATGCCACACTCCCCATGGGGAACACATCTGCAGTTCCCTCAGCCATCTGCCCATAGCTCTAGGGGTAACAGGAGTCCCCCAGCAGGAGCTCTGGTCCCTCTCCCATCTGTATGCATGTGGGATAATGAGTTCAGACCCAGGGCCTCTGCACTGAGGTACAGCCCCAGCCTTTTTCATTTTTGTTGTTATTGTTACCAGAGATCGAACTCAGGACCTTGCACTTGAGAGGCAGGCGGTGGCACTTCTGAGCTAAATCCTTGGGCCCCTTTTTAATTTTTTGAGGCAGGGTCTAAGTCACTAAATTGCTCAGGCTGGGCTCAAACTTGGGATCCTCCTTCCTCAGCCTCCACACCTGCTCCATCTGCGCCATGATGGTACATCTAGCCTCTTGCCAGTGGATGAAAACACTCCAAGGACAGAGGTCAGGCAGCTACACACCTGCCCGCAGGCCTGGGCTGAGGGAGGAAGGAGGTGGCAAAGTCAGTGTCCAAGCAGAAGCAGAGGACCTGCTGGCCTGGCTGCCCCAAAGACTACCAATGCTACCGGGTTTGATCTGTTTCCCAGCCTGGTTTCCAGGTCTTCATATCGATTCTGGTTTGCCATTACTGTGTCCTCCCTGCCGTCAGTCATCCTGGGACAGTTTCTCTTATCCATGAAGCTGCCCAGCTGTGCACACTGCCACACTGGATGGTCCCCAGCTGCGTGTGGAGTGAGTAGGTGCCACCCGATGGCAAGTGCACTCAGCCGGGCTAGGAGGACTGAGTGGTGTGGGGACTGGGAACCTTGGCCCACCTAGCATCACCATAAAGACCCACCCACACGCCTGTAAACCCAGCACTCTGGGAAGTTGAGGCAGAATCACAAGTTTGATTTCAGCCTGGGCAATTTAGTGATTTTGTAAGACCTTGTCTCAAAATACATTGTTTTTTTGAGACAGGGTCTTACCATGTATCCCAGGCTGGCCTCAAACTCACAGGGATCCTCCTGCTTCAGCTTTCTGAGTGAGCATTATACTTGTGCTCCACCAAGCCCTGTTTCCTTTTTTTTAAAAACCTTTTTAAAGACAGGGTCACATTAAGTTGGTCAGGCTGGGGCCACCCTTGTGATCTTCCTGCCTCTTGCCTCCCAGGGCTCTGTGATCATTGCCATCCTATTTTTTGATGAACTGAAGGTGGTTTGTGGATGACTTTCTCCCCACAATGACCAGGCCGGAGTCCTGACAAAGCCCAAATGGAGGAGAGCTCTGTTGCGTCCATATCTGTCAGATGATGGTGACTCCTGTGTCATTTCATTGTTAGTCACCAGCATCAACCACCTCAGCTTCCCGAACCGCCAGTGCCTGTGACGTCAGTGGGGCTTCAGTCCCGTCCTGGACATGAACACACTGCTAGGATGGGGAGGAGGCAGAGACATGGTACTCACAGTGCACAAGTTTATTTGTCCCAAATAAATACAACCTGAGAACATCCATCCAGTTCCCCAAACACTACCCCTGGCCCCCAAAGCAGCTGGTGCACGCTCTGCAGGGTTTGCAGCCTGAGCTCTATTGGGCTCGGGTGCCTGCTGGGGGCTGTGATGTGCTGAGCTTCTCCTGGGTGGAACCCAAGTTCCTGTCTCTTCTGCTCCCTTCCAGGTCTCTGCTATGGTTTTGAGTTTGTCCCCTATGGGTTTAGACACTGGCAGCTTGGTTCCAGTGTGATGCTCTGAGGTGGCAAGACAGAGACTGGCGCAGAAGTTACAGGGTCATGCCTTCAGGGCTGTTGCCGGCCCACGGTGAGTCAAGTCTGCTAGGACTGATTGTTATAAAAACAGTGAGCCAGGCCCCTCTGTCTCCTGCTTATTTAATTTTTGGTGGTACCAGGGATCGAACTCAGGACCTTATGCTTGTGAGGCAGGTGTGGTGCCACTGAGCCTAATCCCTGGCCCTTCTTAATTTTTGTAGTACTGAGGGCTGAACCCAGGACATTTGCACTGAGCTACATCCCAAGCCCTTTTTAAGTTTTTGAGACAGGGTATCACTAAGTCTTTAAGTTGCCCAGGCTAGATCCTCCTGCCTCAACCTCCCAAGCTCAAGTGTGCATCACCATGCCCATCTTATCTCTGCTTCTTGGCTTGCATGCCTGTGACCCTGCTCAAATGCACCCTTACCCCGTGTACCTTATGGCCCAAGGTCCCACCAGAGCCAAGCAGTGCAGGCCCCATACTCTTGACCTTTGAGAACTGTGTACTAAGTTCTTTGTAATATTCCATACCCTCTGGTATTTTGTTACAGCAACAGGAAACTCATAAACACAGCTCCCTGCAGGAGGCTGCTGCTCCCAAAGCAGCTCTTTATACGAATGCCTTCTGCAGCCCAGAGAGATACTCACAACACCCCTTGGCTCTGTGTCCAGGCCTTGCACACAGCTTGTCCTCTGGCACCAGGTACCAGCCCAGGCCCATTTCCAGAGGGCACAGATAGGGTGAATTCTGAACCTGGAAACAGCTCCCCAGGACAGGGACAAACTGAGACCGAGCTGGAAAGTGGGCAGGAAGCACTATCCAACTCTGCCTGGATGTCCCTGAGGAATGGAGAAAGGAGACTGGGTCCCCCCAGTTTTCCCCAGGATGGGCACCCATCTCCCCTTTGCAGCAGGGACTCAGCGGTTTGGGTCCATGTTCTCCTGGTCAGAGGCTGGTTCCTCCTCATCCGGGGACTCCTGGATCAGAGCCAGAAAGCCTGGTTACACTTGTGCTGTTCCCAAGGCCACAGCCTGGGACTGTATCTTTCCTGTTGCCTCCACCCAGGAGCCAGCAGAGGGCGCTGCTGTCCAGGGCTGTCCTGGGCCTCCCATCTTCCTTCGGTGCCCAGCCCTGGGTGACTCCCTCTTACCAGCCCAAGGCCCCTGCTCCGCCGAAGGGTAGCATAGAAGTGCAGCACACGCGCATCACAGCGGACCACCAAGGGGTCAAAGTCCAGAACTCGCAGGCCCTGCAGGCTGCGGGCCCGGGAAAGGGCCACATATGCCTGCCCACTGGCAAACACCCGGCCCAGGGAGATCTCCACACAGTCCAGAGACATGCCCTGGGGGCAGGGACAGGGCAGAGCCGGCTCAGCATGAAGTTCCCCACATCCAGGAGCCCCATCCTCCTTTGCCAGCCCAGCCCCTGCCCCTGAATTTCTGCCTCAGCCAAGTTTTAGCAGAGAGAGAGACACTCATAGCAGATGGATCTAAATACGAAGGTGTGGGGCAAGGACTGGGATGGGGCAGGCAGGCTGTAAGTTCCACGCCAGCCAGGGCTACAGAGGGAGTTCCAGGCCCACCTGACTACAAAATGAGACCCTGCCTCAACACAACAGTGATGGGCATGGTGACACACACCTGTGATTCCAGCACTGAGGAGGCTGAGGCAGGACTGCCTCGAGTTTGAGGCCAGCCTGGGCTACATAGTGAGTTCAAGGCCAGCCTGAACTACACAGCAAGACCCTGTATCAAAAAAAAAAAAAAGCAAGCAAGAAAAAAAAAGAGGAAAGAAAGAAATGGCCTATAATTCCAGCACTTGGGAGGTGAGGACTGTCTCAGGAGAGAGGGATGAGGAAGGAAGGCTGGTTTATCTGAGGGCAGGGGTGGGCAGTTACTCTATTCCTGATCTGCAACTTTCACCCCATGAAGCCTTCAAGCCCCTGCCCAAGCCTGTGCCGTGCTGCTGCCTGCTGGCTACCTGGCTCTTGTGGATGGACAGCGCCCACGCCAGCTGGAGGGGCAGCTGCTGCCGGCTGAGGACCTGGCCCCCGGTGGCCTGCACTGTCCAGCGGTCCAGGCGGACGACCTCGGTGATGCCGCACAGAAAGCGCACCCGGGGCAGCTCTGGGGAAGAAGGGCACCGCCGCCTCTCAGCCCAGCCGCAAGGGGCAATGGGGAGGGCAGGACCTTCAGGGTGACCCTGCTGTAACCCAGGCATGTGCCCATCCTGCCTGCCACTCACCTCTCCCTTCAGCCTCAAACCCCACTACCACCCCTCGGGCGCCGTTCACCAGGCCTCGCGATACCGCCAGGTTCTTCACCAGCATCACCTGTATGGGAACAGAAGGAGCGTGGGCGCCCTTCCTACCCCTGCTCATCTCCAGACCTCCAGCCAGTGCTGGCAAGGCTGAGGGCCAGGGACTGTCATAGAGGGGAACTGAGTCACAATCCATAGCTCTCCCATAGCTTCCCTTCCTGTCACAGGAAATGGCATTTGCTCTGTGTGCCTCGGGAGCAGGTGGCAAAGCCAGGAAGGTGACCTACGTCACAAGGCACATGGTGGTGCACGCCTGTAATCCCAGTACTTGGGAGGCTGAGGCAGGAGGATCATTGAGTTTGAGGCCAGTCTAAACTACAAAGCAAGACCCTACCTCAAAAAAATGGGGAAAAAAAAGCCAGATCTTTTATGGGGTCACAAAGCTCAAGAGGGGCCCTTCGTTCCTGCCACCCCTCACTCAGCCACGGTACCTCCCCTTGGGCACCCTCTGGTACCTTGAGCAAAGGCTTCCATTCTAACCAACTCCATCTTAGGAGGAGCACAACTCACCCATCTCTAAGGTGCCCTACCAAAGACAGCAGAGGAGAGAGGGAGTTCACTCCTATTTACTTATTTTTGTGGTACTGGGGATTAAACCCAGGGCTACCACTCTGAGCTACATCCCCAGCACTTTTAAACATTTTTTATTTTGAGATGGGGGCTCTCCCTACACTGCCCCAGGCTGAGTTTGAATTTGCAATCTTCCGGGAGTGCTTTGATTACAGGGTTGTGGCCACCACGTCCCTGGCCCACTCCCTATTTTAGAGACAAGGAGCTGAGCTGGAGGGAAAGAAAAGACCGCTCACCTGCGCACCCAGTTTCAGCCGCAGGAGCCGGCTCACAGGACACTGGGCATCCAGGGTCCGCGCTAGCTCAGGGTGGCTGTCCAGAGCCGCAAAGCTGTGCATCTCACCTGGAAACCACATGGGAAAATGGATTAGGAGTTGTGACTGGTTGGGCCTCCAGACACAAGATGAGCTGGGGGCATGGCGGGATACACGGGGGTATGGGATCAGCATCGCACCTCTTAAGGTCTCAGTTACATCTGCAAACCTGACAGCCGTGTTGGACACAGACTGAGGCCCTAGCTACCCCTGTGCATTCCCTGGCCAGGCTGCTGGGGCCATGCCCCTGGCGGCCCTGCCTAGCCCTGGCTCCCTGCTCACCTGGCAGCTCCTGAAGCCGTCTCTCATTGGTGAGTGCCACGTCATCCTGGTGGGTGCAGAGTCTCGTGGCCACGATGCCGTCTCGCTCCACCTTGTGGGCAGCTGTGGCTCTGAGCTGGCGGGTCACTTCATCAGAGCACCTGTGGGGTTGGGCTGTCAGGGCAGAGCTAACTGAACCCTGGGGGCAGCAGGGGTCATGGGCAGGTTGGCCTGAGCAGCTGACCTAGGGACGTCGAAAGAGCAGCACACATACATGTATTGCTCCAGGTTGGCCTTGACCTGGCAGTGATTCTTCTGCCTCAGCCTCAAGTGCTGGGATTACAGATGTGCGCCACCAGGCCCAGCTAAGGCTAACTGAGACCCGGGTTCAAGTCTCAGCTTGGCCGTGACTTTGGGTGAGTTACTTTGCCTCCTTAACCCCCACTTTCTGTATCTTTGAAATGGGGGTGCTAACAGTTCTGAACTCCTGTGTCTCACTCTGTCCATCCTGCCTTCTTCCCTGTAACCTGCTCTGTGCTGCCCTTGTGCTGTGTGACAGAGACTCAAACCTGAGGGAGGCTGGATCCCAGGGACCTTTGGAGCATGAAGCTCGCTATTCCCGTGTATCTAAAGGTGGCCAGGGTTCCCCTTCCTGAGCCCCGTCTGAGCTCCAGGCCCACCTGCCGAGCCTCACAGCCTGCAGAATGGAGATGAAGGCAGTGTCTGCCTGCCTCCACACCTCGGTCAGCTCCAGGGTCACAGGCACACACTTCCTCCAGCTCTTGGCCTGGTGGGACAGGGGGTGTGGATCAGGGAACAGTGTAGAACGCCGAGGACCAGGGAGCAGGGCCAGGGATGCGCTGTACCTGGAAGCAGAACCGAGGGGGCTGGGAGCCCTTAGTGACCGGAGGCAGCTGCAGGAAGTCCCCACAGATGATGAGCTGGATCCCTCCAAACGGCTTGTCCTGCTGTCGAACAGCTCTGTGGGGAGCAGGGGCTGCTGCAGGGGCTCGGTGGCCATTACTCCCGGGGAACCCAGATGTCAGCCTTCGTTGCTGCCCTCCCTGTGCACACTGACCTGGCCACGGCCTCCAGCTTATCAAACAGGTCTGCCTCCACCATGGAGATCTCGTCAATGACCAGCCGCTGACAGCTGAGCCAGGCCTGCCGCACCCCTGGCCTCTGGGCCAGAGCTACACACTGGGCCAGGGGGCCCTGGCCCGAGCCAATGCCTGTAAGTGACACCATTTAGCCCCGCCTGCCACTGCCAACCCTGACCTCCTCCCCTCCCTCCCACAGGCCTGCCTGGTTTGCTTTTTTTTTGAGACAGGGCCTGGCCATATAATTGAACTCACTATTATACACCTCAGGCTGGCCTCAAACTCATACTGATCTTCCTGCCTCAGCCACCAGTGCTGGGATCACAGGCATGCACCCCTATGCCCAGCTATTTTGCCCCCCTGGCTTGCCCTTAGCTCCAGCCCTGGGGTGTCCGCTCACCTGCAAAGGCATGGAGGGTGGTGCCCCCGATGTGGCAGGCTGCCACCCCTGTGCTGGCAGTGGCCACAGTGCCTGTGGGCGGCAGTAAGCCCAGGATACGCTTCAGCAGGTAGGACTTCCCAGTTCCTGGGCAGGGGGCAAAGTCAGGGTTGCCTGTGCCTCTGCCCTTGACCCAACCCCCACTGTCCCCCAGCCCCTCTCTGCCCCTACCTGCACTCCCCGTGAAGAAGACACTCTGGCCTTTCAGGACAACCCCCAGCACCGCAGCCTGCTCCTCTGACAGCTGTGGCTTTCTGGGTGGCAGGCTCAGCCGCTTCACCGGCAGTGGCCACCTGGGGGACTCCTGGGGGATGGGGTAACGGGGGGGCTGTCTCAGAGCCTCCTGGGCCTGTGTGCAGCACTGGCTTGGCAGCTCTCTGTCTGTCCTTTCTTTTGGCCCTGCTCCCTGGGCTGCAGCCTGGTTCACCTGGAGACACTGCCAGCCCCTGCTGGGGTCCAGGTGCCTGCTTGGGCCCTGAAAACCCGCAGTGTGTAGGTCTGGATCCTTCAGCTTCCTTCCCCTGGTTGTTCTTTCACCTGTCTGGCCCTGTTCCCCCACTTTCCTTCTCACTTCTCTTCCTATCACAAACCTGTCTTTTGGCGGACATAGTGGCCCACACCTGTAATCCCAATGCAGGAAGACTGCAAGTTTGAGCCCAACCTCTACTTTATAAGAGCCTCCAGACCCTCATCTCCTGTTCTCGATTGGCAGACTCAGGGATTATAAAAGGAAGAAGTGGCGACTCCCACATCCCTATCACACTCAGATGTCCCATGGCATCTCTGCAGCACCTGGCTTCTTCCACCTTCAAGGATGGAAAGTGGAATGCACCCACCTCAAAGGCACCCCTTTTTGTCCTCACCTTGCTGGGCTCGGCGGGGGACAGCTGTTCTGTAGGCGGCTTCTCGGGAGCGCGCGTGGCGGCCGCGCGCCGCAGCTCCTCGGG